TATTACATTTTGGGTTCTGTGTTGAGAAGAAATTTCAGACAAACCTCTTGCTAACCAGTGTTCTTGCTACTATCCAAATATCTTAGAAACAGAAGAGTTATGCAAACAGGTCATTGATTCCTAAATTTGCTTCATTACAAAGTATGTGACATTAAACACCTGTATGCAATATAAAATAATTAATATTTGCTTTTACTATCTCCATTCAGCTCACAAGTTCAATGTGGTCATTTAGTGTATTTGCTTTGACTAACTCAGGTTATATTTTAACTCATGCTTTTTTTTCTTCTTAGATATCAGGATAAGCCATGACAGAAGGGAACACACTGTGAACAGAGGACTTTGATTTTCCAGGATGCCTGCCAAGTGGGTGCCTCTTCTGCTGCTCCTGCTGCAGATGACTTGCTGCTTCAGATCTGGGAATTGTGGGAAGGTGTTGGTGTGGCCAATGGAATACAGTCACTGGCTGAATCTAAAGATTATACTGGATGAACTTGCACAGAGGGGTCATGAAGTAACAGTTCTGAGACCTTCAGCTTCCATCTTTCTTGATCCCCAAAAGTCACCTGACCTGAAGTTTGAGAGTTTTCCTACATCTCTCAGTAAGGATGATCTGGATGAGGCTTTCCGATGGTTTGTGAATACATGGATTAATGAGATACCAAGAGATTCATGTTTATCATACTCTCCTTTGCTACAGAATGTGTGTGAAAGATATTCTGACAGTTATCTAAGTCTTTGTAAAGACACAGTTTCAAACAAACAACTGATGACAAAACTACAGAAATCCAAGTTTGATGTCCTTTTATCGGATGCCATTGCTCCCTGTGGGGAGTTGATAGCTGAACTGCTCCAGATCCCTTTTCTATACAGTCTTCGCTTTTCTCCTGGCTATACAATGGAAAAGTACAGTGGAGGATTGCTAGTCCCTCCCTCTTATGTACCTATAATTTTGTCAGGACTAGGGGGTAAAATGACATTCATGGAGAGGGTAAGAAATATGATATGTATGCTTTATTTTGACTTTTGGTTCCAGTTATTTAATAAAAAGAAATGGGATCAGTTTTACAGTGAAACTTTGGGTAAGTTCTTATCTGTAGCTCAGTGGCCAAAATTTCACAAGTATTTAAATATATTGTATGTCCCTGAAATGCAAAGTGAGAGTTGTCTTTTATAGGTGATCAAATATAATATGATATTAATTACCAAACTCAAAAACCCTGTAAAAGCTCATATTATTGATCAAATAGAAGCAGAGCATTTCTGATACAGGACATTCTAGTGATGTATACAGTTGCAAAGAGATGCCAGAAGACTTTCCCTAAGTGATTCTTTACTCATTTTACTATAATTTTATCTATTTTAATAAATCACTAGCTCTTAATCAAATCCTGGCTAATGTAGATTAAAGGAAGGCATATTTTACAGTTTTAATATGTATATAATATTGAAGAAATTGTCTTCTCTTGCATAGGCTACCTTCTTAAGTTAAAATTAAAATGTGGTGTCTGAAAACAGGACCAAAAAGTTAAGAGTGTTTTCCATTCTGGTGGAGTGCCTGAGTTCTGTTAGTAAATCCACCCAGGTACAGTGGCTCAAAATTGCCTGTGTCTTCAGCTTCAGGGGGCCTGCTGCTCTTTTCTGGTATCTGTGGTCACCAGAACAAACTTAGCATATACTCACACAGACACACAAACCCACACAAAAATATAAATCATAAAGTATTTCCTCTGTATTTCCTAAAGAGTTGCCTTACACTTGAAAGATACTATGTTAGTTCACAGGCTTAAAAATGGAACTGCAGTTGCTATTAATACCAAGTTCCTTTATTGTGTACTTTACTAGCATCCATTGTTTAAACACTACAGAAGCATGGGTGCATGTGCACTCAGTCTGTACTTTTTCAAGTCATGTTTTTTTTTTGTTTTTCACTTAAAAATATGTCATAGTTAAGATTGGGCAAAAAATTTTATTATCATAATTTCTGAAAATGTTGTGATAATTTTTATAAGTGTTATTAAATTAGTGGGTTATTTCAATAACTATATACTGTCTCAAATTACTGAGGAAATGGTAATTCTCACCATTTACTTTAAAAATAAGCCCAAGCTGACATTTATGTATATTATATGAGCCACAAATCAATTGCACATACAAATTTTGTTACATATTAATGAACATTGGTTTTTAAATGCTCAGACATAAATTCTTCCATCATTTTTAAGAAAATATATATTTTGTATTCTGATGACAATCCTGGCAATTTTTCAGTTTCTCATTTGCTCCTATTCTCCATCTAGGAAAGCACACTACCTTAGCTGAGACAATAGGCAAAGCAGAAATGTGGCTCATTCGCTCCTACTGGGATTTGGAGTTTCCTCGCCCAACCTTACCAAATGTTGACTATGTAGGAGGACTCCACTGCAAACCTGCTAAACCCTTGCCTAAGGTAAATACATTTTTAAAAATCTCTTTTCCATTCACTTTAATGTCTGGTAAAGATGATTCTACACCTTTCATTACATTTTGCTCCCAGTGATAAAGATATAGAGGAAGTGGAAATAAACATCCTGCTAACTAGGGGGTCAATAAAGTCAGGAATGAACAGGATAGACCTGGGAAATATTCATATCAGTGAGCTAAATGAAGTCAGTTAAGGTACTTGGGTGGTTATCCATTGGGTAAAGTCCTTACCAAACAACTATGAGGATATAAGTTTGAATCCCAACACCCATTAAAAAATTGGATGTCCCACACAGTACTATCACATTAGTACTGAGGATGCAGAAAAGGGTTGATACTTGGAGCTTGCTGGCCACAATCTGGTAAAAATGGTGATATTTCTCTTCGGTATGAGAGCCTCAAAAACTCTGTTTAAGATTGATAGAGAAAAGCATCAGATTTTAACTATTGGCATCCATGTGCTAAACTTAAGGCAGAAACCCTCCTTAGGACCCTCACACACACACACACACACGCGCGCATGCGCGCGCGCGCGCGCACACACACACACACACACACACACACACACACGCACACAGACACACACACGTACACACACACATACAGAAACACACTTGTGCACACATGCATGCACACATATAAACACATGCCGAAAAGACAAAGAAATTAAGTCAGTTAAACTCATCACTTCAGAAACTATCAATCATCAAAAGCTATTACTAACATGTATCTGAGGTAATTGTTTGATATACAGAGAAACAACAAGGATATATCTTCTCTCCAACAGTAATTGTAGAGATCATCTCTGAAAATATCTTATTTAAACACAATGTCAGAAAATTATTATATGGTATATGTTTGCCATGAAGTTATGATTATTTCACAAAGAACCAAAGCATTTTATTAATGATAGTAGGAAGTTTGTGTTAACTACTACATATGTAAATACAACAACATAGATATTATTTCATCAAACATGAGTTAGTAATATTAAACCAGTCATAATAGGAGAAAAATGAAATATCAAGGGGATGAAAACATGTAAATGAAGCTAGAATATCATGAATACTTCATAAAATATGCTTGCACTCCTGAGTTTTAAATTTGCCAGAGGGAAGCAATTAAAATGTTTGTTGCACAACGTGTGAGTACATTATGTAGTGATGCCAGTAAAGTTTAACGTCTTTGACATTGGCAGTTTTTTATTCTGTATGTGTGTTTTAAAACCACTACTCTAAAAATTCCTAGGAGCACCTTAATTTCTATTCTCCTAGGTTTTCATAAAGGTATCATAAGCGAGTTCCCAACAATTGGCATCTTTTCATGAAGCAAATTCTCTTCACAGGAAATGGAAGACTTTGTCCAGAGTTCTGGAGAGCATGGTGTTGTGGTGTTTTCTCTGGGGTCAATGGTCAGCAACATGACAGAAGAAAAGGCCAACGCAATTGCATGGGCCCTTGCCCAGATTCCACAAAAGGTGAGGAAAGTGCTCCATAGGAGGCAACTGTACACTAAGTCTGTTAAATCCCTTGAAAAGTCTGATTATAGAAGGACTATGTGAAAGGTAAAGTCTTAAGTATGCTCTAATTTGCCTTAGCCAATTTAGAAACATACTCATAGCAGATGCTACAATACTGCAGAAAGTGTTTTTGACCGAGAGTGACTTGGATATAAGCACTGTGGTCACTGTGCACACATTCTGAAATGCTGGCATGATGATGGCATTCCTATCAAGAGTATATAGACATAGTCAAATTCTTCAGTGACACTTTTTTTATTTGTTGATTATTTAAAGTCACTGCATATGTTAGATTTTTCAGGGGGTTATTTACTATTTCTACAGAATAACAGTAAACAAGTATTGAAAAAGTTTGAAATGTAGCATGACTCTGCATCCTAATTTTGGAGTAGGCCTGTTCAGTGTGCAGTGAGAGAGTCTTTTAAAGGAAGGGAGTCCAAGGCTCACCACTGTCAATCAAAGCATACTTTTAGCTAATTGAGAGAAAGAGAATTAAAAGAAAAAACTATGTTCTGAACTGCCTTGCCAGTATTTGTATAGGAAATGTATAAAGGAAATATAGAGATGGGTGCTACCCTTATAGTGATGTCTGTGCCTCTCTATGAAGAAACACAGTGCTTGCTTGGAATCAGTCAGAGTGAAAGTCCTACCACTCAAGGAAGAAAAGTGAAAACAAGAAACAGTCCAAAGGAACCTAAAGTTTAAAAAGTTACAGGTGACTAACTTTAAAGCATACTACAAAGTAGTTTTCTATGGATTAGATTGGAATGCTTGTGAATATTTTATAATTTTGTAGTGGAACAGTCTCTCTTTCATCACCTATATTAATTTTCTGATGCTATAGTTAATTTTGTCAGTCATATATCAAATCCATAGTTGCTATGTGAATAACGGTTCATTTAATGAAATTTGTCTGAGAATTCTACCATTAACACCTAAAATTGACCTGGACTTGGAACTGGTTTTTCTGCCTCAGACCATTCTGACCTCTGTAGTAAAATCATTTCACTTTGTTATAACACCTCTGTCTGCTACACCTAGAAGGAAGATGAAAATATATTCCAAAAAATTCTTATGTTTTGAAGAAACTGAGGTCACAAGACTCTTGTCCTGTTTTCTTAGAGTGTTCTCTCAAACACTCAGAATTCTCCTCATGTGACTCCTTTCCTGGACCATGCTCCAAAAGTAGACTATGCAAGGTTACTCCTGGGATGGGTCAGATGACTGACTCCATATTCCTATTGATAAACATTATGGCATTGTATCAAAGAACTCCAGACCAGAGAATATTGTGGATCAGGATTTGTCATGAATTAATTTGTCATGACATTATTTGTCATGAATTAATAAAGACATAAATATGGCTACTGGAGTTTGAAATAAATAATTAATAAAGACAATAACTTAAAATTCATTACAAATAGAATAGGACAAGTAAATAAAAGGAACTGTAAAGCACTTAAAATATAATATTAAAACTAGACTACTAGAGCTATAAAGATATATTTATATAACATATAAATTATTAGTAACTTGCCATTCTTTTCTTTTCATTCCTCTCCCCAACCCCCCTCATATCCATGCTGGTTTTCAAATTCATAGCATTTATTTTTTCATTAATAACATTACATACACATATGCGTATACATTTAAATTCCAAAATATAACCTGTTCAGCCTGTATAATGTTAAATTGGGCTCTAGCAATAAAGATTATTTAACCTTTAACAGGTTCTTTGGAGATTTGATGGCAAAACACCAGACACCTTAGGACCCAATACAAGAATCTTTAAATGGCTCCCCCAGAATGACCTTCTAGGTAAGACTCTGGAAAGCAATCCTATCCTAGTTGACTTCAATACCCTTTATATTACATTTAGTGAATATATTATTTATTTAAGATAACAATATCTGACATGCACTTGGTCTTTTTTTAAAACTCAATTTTCCTTATCTACCATGATGTACTCCACATGTTCAACTGGAAATCAGTATTTCATAGTTTAAATCTCAATTCACAAGTAAATTTTCAAAATATCTGTCAGTACATTTAGTTTCTTCCTGCTCTGAGATAGGAAAACATTTACTGAGGTTAAGAGTATAAGAATCTTCAAGTAGGTTTTCTTGTGATGAGAAGGGAAGGCAAACTGAAGTCATGATGTAAACTAAATTAATAAATTCAATTATTAAAAAAAATCTTAATATAGAAAAATATCCTTTCAATTCCTCATAGTACACATTTCTCACTTTATGTCTAATACTGGTGTGGGGCCACTGGTAGTCGATCAGTATTTATCCCTAAGTATACGAATGGACTTTGGGAGCCCATTCCAGATAGAGGGATACTCTCTCAGCCTAGACACACAGCTTAGGCCCTGCTCCAACTGATATGACACACTTTGAAGATACCCATGGAAGGCCTCACACTCCTTGGGGAGCAGAAAGGGAATGGAATAGGGGGTCGGTGAGGGGCAGGGAAGGATGGGAGGGAGAGGGAACTGGTATTGACATGTAAATCAAGTTTGTTTCTAATTTAAAGAAAATATGAATGAAAAAAAGAGACTGCTAATTAATGTTAATCTGAATTCCTCTTATTCCAGGTCATCCAAAAACCAAAGCCTTTGTAACTCATGGTGGAGCTAATGGCATCTATGAGGCAATTCATTTTGGAATCCCTATGATTGGCATTCCTTTGTTTGGAGAACAACATGATAACATTGCCTACATGGTGGCCAAAGGAGCAGCTGTTGCATTAAATTTCAGAACAATAACAAGGTCCGATTTGCTCAATGCACTGGAGGCAGTCATAGAGAATCCTTCGTGAGTATAATCTTTTTAAAATGCATATTCATTATTTATTTATTCATTATTCATTGTGATTTTTACTGAAGGCCAAAAGGGCAAGAATTATCCTAAAGGCAAAAATAATACAGAGACAATTTAGGACATGATTCAGTGTCATAGGTTTTTCCTCTCTTTTGTTATTGTTTTTTATTTGCATGTTAAACTTTATGTTTCTTTCTTATGTAAGTCAGACAGGTCCTAAATGTGTAACTACTTCATCCTACAAACTGCTTGACCAACAAACATTTGCCAACAGCTCTTGCCAATTTTTCTTTTCAATTCTTTTAGTGAAGTAACTGATCAGAGATTTAAAGTTAATACAAAACTTAAATATTCATAAGTGAAATAAAATGAAATGTTATGTGTGATACCAGATGTATTACCCCTAGAAGCTTTGGGAAAACATTACAACAGAGAAACTTCGATGATATAAAAGAGATATGTAACTTTTATGGGAGTTGTAACTTTCTGCATTGAAATAACATAGATACTAACATAAAAGGAAGTGTTTAACTAAATGTTTAAATATGCAGTCTGTTTTAGGACAAATTCATATAGTGAAAAACTATTAGAATGAAGGAAAAATGGATATGCTCATCATTTTTTTTCTTTGATTTAAAAAAATCCATGTGAAAGCTCTTTCCTGGAAAGACTATTTCTCTCCTACTCTCAGCATTACTTAAGTGCCTGTAATAATTTTGTGTAGAGTTCTGACCAGTGTGAGACTGATCTCTTTCCATGTTAGCATGGCTATTGCTGTCATCCTTTTTCAGATCTTGTTTAGGGAACTATGTTGTTGAGAATGACTATTGGTGTCGCCATTATTAAGATCTTGTTTAGATATCTATATTGCTGACATTTCACCATCAGAGCTTATCAAAGATGCAAATTCACAGCAAATATCTTGGCCTTCTCTGGCTTTTAAAATCTTTCAATCCCCTCTTCTGTGATGTACTATGAAGGTTATTTTTCTAGTAAGGGGCTTTCAAATGAGTTCCAGCTCAAAGGTCCCTGGGTTCTGTTTCTTAATTGCATTCTCTTTCAGCGAAAGAGAATAAGCAGCATCGATAGGCTATGCATTTTGGGAGTCTGTTTGACAGCCGTGGCCAACATCTTAAAAGAGGGTTCTTCATGTCTGGTGTTGGGGTTTATGTTAGGTCATCTTTGTCTTTTAGATGGAGCACCATCAGTCCAGATGAGAAAAGATCATTAACTATATGTGTATATTTATATTTGGAATTGCATGTGTTATGGGAGATTTGGATAAATTGTTAATAGCACAATTTTATGGCTTTTTCTGACATCCTTATTGTTACTTTATTATTTTCTGTCCTTTGCTATTAACCTCCTCTCCCTTCCCTATGGAGCCTTCCCTCTTCCCATTTCCCCATCAGATAATTTGCATGCTAAATTTTAAGAAAATGTAATATGCATACTAAGAGATTATTTAATGAGAAGAAATATCTCTCATTTTGCTTTTAAATAGTAAGACAGTAAATTACCATTATTACAATTGCTACTTTTTTTGTTTTTTTCGAGACAGGGTATCTCTGTGTAGCTTTAGAGCCTATCCTGGCACTCGCTCTGGAGACCCGGCTGGCCTCCAACTCACAGAGATCTGCCTGCCTCTGCCTCCTAAGTGCTGGGATTAAAGGCGTGCACCACAAATGCCTGGCTACAATTGCTACTTCTGCTCCATCAAACTGACATTAGGCTTGATGACTCATTTCTCTATGGTCCTCCTCTTCTTTATATACTCATCAATAATTATTTCAGTATTAGAATCAAAGGAAACTACAATACTCAGTGTGGAATTTTTACAGCTCTCACTTCTAAAATAACAATGATATCAAAAAGTGAATATCAACAATCACAGCAAAACTTAAGCTTGAAAGATGGCTCAGTGGGTAAGTTAAGGTGTACTCTAGCAGAGGAAAACACCCACGTCAAGTGATTACCAACATTTGTAACTCTAACTCCAGCAGATCTCATGATACAAACAAACAGATACACACACACACACACACACACACACACACACACACATATATATATATATATATATAGTAGCAAAATTTTATTGTGAATCTACTTTAGAATAAGAATAATAAAAAAATCACAGTACAGTAACAGAGAAGAAAGCTACCCTTCCTATCAGTTTCATTGACTAGGTGATAACTTACTTGAAAATGCATAAAAGCATTGGGAAACAGCTATTATAACTAATTAATAAGTACCAGGACACTTTTGTAATTATAACCACTACTCATTGATAGCATTTCTTATAAATATCATTTCAATGTTTATCATCTTTACACAGATATATACCAAAATGGAAACTAGAGAGGGATTTTCTTTCTACTTATACATCCTGACACTAGTATATGCTTTGAAAACAAAGTTTATTAATAATTGCTTATGGGTAACTGAAGTTTTATATACTCAAATAATATCTCATTTTGATATTTTTGTATTTAATGATTAGCTGTCTCCAAATTCTACTTTAGGAATATTTGATCTTCTCATTTTTCTTTTTAGATGCTTATTCCAGCATGCTGAAGGAGCTCAGATATACCTCTGAGTCATATTCATGAACGTAAAATATAATTCATTTTCCTTATATGTTTGTGTAATTTTCTTTACTATCTACACAAGAAAATTACACATGTGCATATTTATTCATTATATAAGCTGATATCCCATTTTACTTCTTTCAGCTATAAAGAGAATGCAATGTGGTTATCAACCATTCACAATGACCAGCCCATGAAGCCTCTGGACAGAGCCATCTTCTGGATTGAGTTTGTCATGCGACACAAAGGGGCCAAGCACCTGAGGCCACTTGCATACAACCTCACCTGGTACCAGTACTACTCTCTGGATGTGATTGGATTCCTACTGGCCTGGGTGGCAGTCATAACTTTTCTTGTCATAAAATCCTGCTTATTCATTTATCAAAAGTTTGTAAAAACAGGAAAGAAAATGAAGAATGAGTAGAGCTCTTTGAGAATGTACTACATGAACTAAATTTCAGCATCATTTTAATTAATGAACTGCCTTCTAAACATTCACTGATTACTTGATCAAGGCATACCTTCCTTGGATAGAGGAAAGGGAAGGGGGAATAATGGAATTATATTATAATTCAAACAAAAGACATGATAGAAAGAAAAAGGATGAGCAAGCTGTAAGGAAAAACCTAGTAAACAGAGTTCCTCCACATTATCTGCCTCAGGGCTGTCTCCTGATTCCTGCCTTTAACTCCTGACCTACTTTTTCTCAGTAGTGTACAGAGAGCCATGATGTGAAATAAACACTCACCTTCATCAAATAAAAGTGAAAATTTGAAAAAAAAATCAAACAAAGGAGGGCTCTGGACCTGGGTCAGGGCAGACACCACCATGATGAGCAAATACGTGGTGGAGAAATTAAGAGTAAAAGCAAAAGGTAAAATCAAAGCAAGTCACAAAGTCCATTACAGTACAGAAGTACAGATCATATGTTAGAAAATCGTAAGATAGTGTGTCATAAAACCACAATCTGAGGCCATTATAAAGAAGTTAAGTACATTATAAATGATGAAAGTGTTTTGCTTTAACATTGAACATTACATTTTAACATAGATTTTGAAAATAAACAAGGTATTAGGGTGGTGTGTCTAGAGCTAACTGATGAAATTTTGTTGAATCATGTTAATAGAAACTAACTTTTAAATTACTGTCCTAGTAGTGTGATAAGATTTAATACCTGCTGCATGACTTCACTATTTATTGCTTTGTGTTTTTGATTAGAGCTCACCATTCTGAGAGGTCAAGTGGAATTAATGTCTGTCTGCATGATTTTGAGAAGTTGGCCTTTGGATATGATGAATCCATTGCTTCTGTTCTATGCTCTTATGTATATGCAAATTCTCTGTCTGGTAATTCACTCAACTGAGCTGAAAATTGAACACTAGTTAGCATTATTTCAGATAAATTTCTACTTCCCTCTCCCCTCCCTTTTCCTTCCCTCTCCCCTTCCCCCATTCCTCTTTCCTTCCTCCCCCCCATCTGTCTCCTGTTGCACACACCTGTAAATCACAAAGTATAAACTTTCTTTTGGTGCTTAGAGGTGCACTGTTGACTATTCAGTATTCATGAATACCCTCCCTCCACTTCTAACAAGACCTTGATAATCTGTATTCCCTGAAAGCTAAATTTAAGCTAGCTATATGGAAGAGCTGATTTGTTCCCATTCTAGTATGAGATACACTCACTCACTTATTTGCCTGATGTCTTATGATTTACTTTACAACTTCTTGACCTATGCCAGGACTTGTTTCTTTTTTAACATAAAGATATATATATATATATATATATATATATATATATATATGTAAATTTTGTGATTTCTGTTAGTTTATATCATGTCATGTCTATTACTAGTCTAAATGAATGGTCAAGGCTGCTGTCTTATTTGACTTCAGAGACAATTCTACACATTTATTCATTATTAAAATGAGGAATTTAATTTTAAAGAGTGCTTCATATATATACATATATATACTGTTTTCTTTATGTGTCTTGCTGTATGTCTTTCTTGTTTACAACAAATAAAATATAACCTAAAATTCCTAGTCTAGTCCTATACCTCTATTGGGGCATCTTTTGAGTCTAACATCTGGTCAGTTTTGACAGGTGTACCATAAAAATTATTGACATTGGAGATGATTTTATACAATTTACATAAAGTCAGCTCAACCAAAATTTGGGGGATGTTGACCAAAGATCAAAAGAATACAAGTGACTCCAAGATAAGGAAATATCTAATATGTAAGACTTCTTATAGACTTCCATATCTCATGGCCATATTCTCATTAATTGGGATTTGGATTGGTGAGTTATATATACAGATTGGAACTCATGGACAATAGCTATGGTTATGTCTCAGACTATTGGCCTATACAGTCATGCATTGCTTACAGGTCATGTAGTTACCATGACATATTATGAATTATCAGGAAACATGGGCCATGGCAAAGTATTGATTAAAAGATGTCAAATTTTTGCACCATCTCTCCAATATCAGTAGCAACACTGTAATCCAAAATCTAGATGGCTACCTAGGATTAATACTCATCTTCTTGCTTAATAGGAAGAATTTTTATTGCTTTGCTAAAAGATTTTAGATATGATATAGAGAGAACCCAGGAAGGGTATTTCATTGGGTAGATTTATAATAGTGCTTTGTCTATAAAAAAATGAAAATTTCAAGCAATAATTTAAATAATGACTAATACTGGGAGAATTATTTATATCTTCAAATTTTCACTGTGTTCCTTGTATACAGACTTGGGTTAATATAGTAAGAGGTTGTATAAGCATGCATTCACAAAAGAAACACACATCTCATTGAGAAGAGACAATGACATTATTATTTGTGGGGATAAAATGAAATTCTGAGTGAATGTGTGCTGTTGACATGAGAATATCACAGCACCAAGAAATGTATTTAATGCAAAAAATTGTACCAAGAAGTAAAGTTATTGTTGGAATAAGCCTGGAAATAGGTGTTTAGGAACTGATTTTCATCAGGAATATGGAGGGATTAGATCAGAATGCTAGAAGTAGAGCTTAATAGACTATAGAGTTGTTGTAGAAGGAATCAGGAAAAACATAACATATGGACAATGTAAACAACTGAGATTTGACTCATGAGAATTTAGAAAAAAAGGAGGACTCTATGGGCAACTGGGTTATAGGCTGTTTAAGTTATATTTTGGCAAAAAAATTGGCTGCATTCTATGCATGTCCTGGGAAGCTGATTGAGGACAAATTAAAAAGTATGGGCTGATTTGTTTGGCTGGAGAAATTTAAAACAAACTGCACTCAGGATGTGGTATGACTCCTGCTAACTGCTTTAATTCAGATCTGCACTGAGATATAGCAGATAGTTATGAAAATTGGGAAAATTGTCAAGAAAAGGAATATGAAAAAATTTTAAGTTCCTAACAAGAAGGATACTGAAAAAGCAACTATAATTGCCGAAGAAGTTAGCACCATTAGAAGGAAACCATGTGCCTTGTACTAGTCCAACTTGAAAAGTGCTTTGAAGGCATAACTCACCCATTGAAAGCTCTATCTCATGAAAACTCAAAGCAATTAGAAAAGAAAGGGCCCAGATTAAGACTACTACACAAGGCATTCATTCTCAGAAACTAAATCACAGAAATTTATTTGGTTAGGGTTAACACATCTCCTGATACAACCATATTTATCTTACCTCAAAAACTGGAAGCATCTTTCACATAGTAGTGGTTTTACAGACATGAAAGATGCACCACCAAAATGATCGTAAAGGCATCTGCTGGACTTACTGGTCTTAGACAGGATGTGAGTAGTAGCATATGAGCCTATGCTAGGATAGCCTGATAGGCTATTGCATAATGCTATTAAGGTGAAGCAGTGAGAATGGAGAAAATAGGCTCTTGGACATGCCAGGACCATGGGTCATCTACTAATAAGACCTATATGTAAAGACTATAGTACAAATAATAGAAAGATCCCTTATCCACCATATTCAATCTCTCCACCCAGCCAGGTCATTCATATCTTGTGCCAGAATCTATTTCTAGAAGTCTACCAGATCCTTCCTTAATGCACTGTGAATCTAACCTGGGTTCCACATCCATTGCCCTGGACAGGTCTAGACAGCCCAGCTTGCCATATTCTCATTCTCCAGGCTCCACCCAATACCCATATGACCCATTTCCAACATACTACTGCCATATCCAACCCCTTAGCCCAGTGTGGGTCTGCACACCTTCTTTTGCAGTATATCTGGGTGAGTATGCCTGACTATCCTGTCCACCAGATCCCTCCTATACCACCAGATCTACCCTAAAACTCCAGGCATGGGTCTGAAAACAAATTTTACACAGCACCCAGCCTTCTATGTCCACTGGACTTCATTCTATGTAAGCTATAACCAATTCTCATGCCCAAACAAGACTTACATACTGTAGTCTATCAAAGCCTCTGTGGCCATATTAAACACAGAACTAGCAAAAAAGTCCATATGCCCAGCTCATATGATAAAATACAAACAATGTGAAAGGCCAAGGCTGGTATTCCCTCAAAAAAACCCACCACTCCTATAGAAATATAGAAATATTCTCCCATGAGACTTATATAGATAGTATACAGAATTTAAAATAACCTTCAAAACTGCATGAAAGAATTCAAGGAGTTTAATGGAAACCAAAGAAATAACTCAATGAACAGCTCAATGAAATTAAATAGAAGAAACATCTGATGGTACCCAAGAAATCACAAACATAAGGCTAAGGAAAATCATGAAGACAATGCAGGATTTGAAAACAGAATTAAATAAAGAGATATAAACATTAAAAAGAATTCAAACCAAAATGAAGATGAAATTGAGAGGATTTATAGCCCAACTAGAAAATTCAAAGGAAAAATTCTGGCAAGTATAGTAAGTCAGGCAACAAACGGAGTATCTTTACTTAAATATAAATTAGAGGTCATAGACAAAATAAGCAGAGAATATGAAAGTTTAAAAGTCACAGGAAAGGAACATGTAGGAAATGTGGGATACTATGAAAAGATCTACATTTTGAATTATAGAAATAGCTGATGGAGAAGAATCCCAGATCAATGACATATCAGATCTTCAACAAAGTGATAGAAGAAAATTTCCCCTAAAAAAAAGGGCAAAACCATATAGATCCAAAAAGAACACAGAGCACCAAATAAGTAGGATCAGGGAGAAAAACACTCCTCACAGTATTGCACATTTAAACAATAAGTATCTAGGTATACATAAGTACTGGAAGCTGAAATAGAAAAAAAAATCCCACAATTAACCAAGAAAACATTACTGTCATAAACATACTTTCACCAAATTCTGGTGAAAATTTTATTAAAAAATACACTACTGGTCACCTGGACAAAAATTCATAAGAAGAACTTTAGAACTAAATGACATCACATATTATC